CTATATAAGCCTCAACTCTGAATTGATGGGAAACATTCATTTTCATCTTAGTTTAGGCAAAGATGGAGGCATTTCTGTGCAGAAAAATATCATAGCTCATCTACCATTATCTTCTGAGATGGCTTCGGAGAAAAAGCTGATCTATCTGCGTGGGTTTCGCATTGAATTCACTTATTCTCACAGACTGTATGCGCTAGCCACTCCGTTTACATCTCAAACCGTTTCTTCATAGATAGCCCGCATGGTTCTGGTAAATTGCCCTATGAACTGGCACCACAATCGTTATTATTAGACTTTGCGGCTCAGAGATGTTGTCCCACTTCGATAATTTGCAGGTTTTTGACGGATGTCTGAATCCTCTGACGAATCTAGCCTTCAGCTTGCCGTTTTCTGAGTCACAATCCTATCCCAGGCTTATAGGCGGTATGTGTGGGCTGCAACAGCGTCGCAGTGACGCTCGATCTCTGTATCTTGCATGCGGAGAGCTGGACATCTCTCGCTTTATCCATGCGTTTTTCCACGCTTTGTGACCGCAGCAACCATTATTGCAGGTTTTCATGCAACACGCCTGCTGCTTATCGTTTTTATGTCTCATGCTTTTCCATGTCTGATTCCTCGGTTTTGCAGGCCGCAAGCATTCGCCCTTGATTGATAGTACGCCCAAGTTTAAGAGAAGAAAAGAGCATATTTAGTGTTCCATGAACCTTGGCCATGACGAATTGATGCGTTTAGATATCCTGCCTCTACGTGAAGAGGCGACTAGTTTTAAAGACGCGTGAGTTTTAAACAGGAGTTCCACTGATGTACGTGCATCTAGGTAATGAATCTCTCATAAACATATCCTGACGCTCCTAGGCTAGTATATTTATGAATTTCTCAACCATCTTCTCTGGCCCCTACGTGCTCTTCTTTTCTCACACAACATACCCACATGTCTTAACGTTTCTGCTCAATCGTACATCATCTCATATACTTATTCTACTCTCATTTCCTATCCTCTCCTAGCGTAATATAATTTAATGGATAAAATAGCAGGCTTGTGGACTCTTGCACTGATTATTCAGCTCAGTGGCTACTCTATTCACATACTTAAGTCGCAGTACCTAGATCAAATATGCCTCATCAGACGAAAGGTGTATAGTGACGTGTGTATCATCTTGTATGTCGATTTGCCGCGACGGATTGCTTGGCGTTGCCCTTGCTAAACTCCCTGCAATGAGCTACAGTATGTCTCGCTGATGGGATCCAACTGATTGGTCTTAACCTTGTGTTCTATTTCCGTTTGCCGCAGTTTCTGCGTCATTTGGCCAGATCAGACCTGTCCACCCGAGATCTATTCAACTGCTAGTACCCAGCTGCTTCCCGGTTCGGGGTGCCACAGCATTGCCGATTAGCCACGGCAGGAGACTAGAGAGCTCCTGCCCCCCCCAACTTTCAGTGCACTTTATCGATGAGGCGTCTATAGCATTGCTCAATGTATGAGTCAATGTCGAGCCTGTTCAGATGCCTTGGGCATCAGATCTTCCAAGGAAAAACACTATTCACGGGGACACATGTCAAAAATCTGGTGGCCGGAGGACTGAATGGCCGGCCAGCTCCCAAGGATGGCTGGCAATGCTGCAGTGTATCTCCTTGACCCTGTTTTATCCTTCGAGGGAGAATTCCAAGCATTTCCGGGCAACGGGAAAATCAAAGGCCTTCATCTCCCTCCGTTTCGGATGCGTTCCGGTACCCAGATCGTCAGAAGTACACTTTGTTTTTGTCGAGTTTTGTTTATCGAGTTGTCGTTTTGCTTATCGAGTTGTTTGTCGAGCGGACGTGTTTTGTGTTTTTGAGTCATTGCTCTCTGTTTAAGCAATTTTCGTTAAAGTCTGGTTTATTTGTGTTGTTGCATTTTGCTTATCGAGTTGTAAACTTTCTAAGGTCCTGTTATATCTTAGTAAGTTGAGTTGCTTAGTTTGTTGCGTCGGTTCACTACCTGACTGGGTGATTACACAATGCGCATTTCCATTCAATTTTATTTTTGTGCAAAATAAATTAATGCGATACGATGCTAAAAATACAAACACCTTTTCAAAAGCTATTTCATTTCGTCATGCTTTACAACATACAAAGGTACAAGTTTTACAAAAAAATAAAACTGCCTAACAATGTGCAAAGTGCTACAAACTACTAGTAAAAGAAAAATAAAGCAGGAAATAGCAGCATCAAAGTCCTCGGGAGCGGGAACGAGAAGCACGCCTCGTCCTCTTTTGCGGGACAATCTCCACACCATCATCTGAGTCGGAGCCATCATCCTCAGGATCCCCCTCAGCCTCGCCTCTGTTCCCCGAGCCAAAACCGGAGCCTCCCTCCTCAACAGATGTCTCGAACTGACGGTCGGTAGCCTCCTCCTCCTCCTCATCAGACTCTACCTCCACAACATGAGCCCTGCGTCTGCGGACAGGCCCTCCTCGAGCTCCTCGATAAGGCCTAGATGGCCCGGCTCCTCGGGAAGGCCGAGATGACCCCTCCCCCTGATAAGCCCCGGATGGCCCAGCTCCCTGATAAGGCCCAGATGGCCCAGCTCCCCAATGAGGCCCAGGTGGCCTGGCCTGCGGCTGACCGGACCATGTAGGCATCTGAAAACAAAGAGTTCAATTCAAATACATCAGTCCAAATATATACATCAGATGCAGATACAAGCAGAGGCTACATGAAGTGAGTGCATGTAAGTACAGTGTATAAGTGGGGTGTGTGTCAGATGTGCTCTACACAAGTAGTCTATCGATGCAGTAGAAATCAGCATGTCATCAGAAGTATGATAAATGCCAGAAAACTGAAGGGTACCTGGATGCCCGCGACAGACAACTGTGCTTCCCTACGCAGGACCATGCCCTCGAGTGTGGCCACCAGTCCAACCACCTCCTCCATGTATCCTCGCGATGGCTGCAAAAGTAAGCTCGTAATCATCAGTGAACAGAAGAGTGTCTAAACATCTGAATGATGAATGAAAAGTGGAGCATACCGGCGGTGAGTCCGGATCAATGGCGTATCGATCACTGGGCATCGGAGGCTCTAGTGGAATCAGAGTCGGAGAGCTAGCCCCATACTGCCACGCCATCAACTCAGTAGGCATATCTGGCCATCCGACATGAGGATGAATCGACGGAGTCGGAGGAAACGGTCTACTCCCACCTCTAGATGCGCCAGCCCTGCTAGAAGAAGGGATGTCTGTAGCTCGAGCCTGAGCCTGACCCGAGGATGACGTACCGGCAGGCCTCATCATCGGGATACGAGCTTCCGTCAATGGGGGCATCAAGTATATGTGACGGTAGGTGGCGTAGTCCCCCTCCTCAGTATATAGTAAGGCTTCAGTACCCAGCATGGCGCCGACTACCTCTGAGTAAGAGAGCCTGTCAGCGGTCCGCATACAAGCTGGGGGTGTTGCGGGAATATCCTGAGAAAGATACTCCCATACCTGGCGCAGAAAGCGCTCCCCCAGGAACCATGCCCTGCCAACCGGCCCTTCAAGCAGGACTCTATACTGGGAGATGCCTGATGCTCCGGTATACTGAAGTCGGAGATCATCACCCAGGGGCGCCCAAGGCTGCCAAGTAATCTGCGGATGATAAATGTATAAACCAATCAGAAAACGAGGATATACAGAGCAAGTCAAAGATGAAAATGAAAAGAACTGAAAGTTCTGAAGGTCTCGGCTAAGCACTTTGCCTCAGGATCTCTCAACTCGACTGTTTTGTGTCTGGTTTTGCACCAAACACTTGTGTTTTTGCTTTGGAGGGCAGGGAATGGCTTGTTGAATTTTGGGCTGCGTGTTCAACTTTCAGTTAATTTGTGGGCTGCGTGTTCACTATCTCCCTGGGCTGCGTGTTCAGAGAATTTGAATTTTGGGCTGTGTGTTCAACTTTCAGTTAATTTGTGGGCTGCGTGTTCACTATCTCCCTGGGCTGCGTGTTCAGAGAATTTGAATTTTGGGCTGTGTGTTCAACTTTCAGTTAATTTGTGGGCTGCGTGTTCACTATCTCCCTGGGCTGCGTGTTCAGAGAATTTGAATTTTGGGCTGTGTGTTCAACTTTCAGTTAATTTGTGGGCTGCGTGTTCACTATCTCCCTGGGCTGCGTGTTCAGAGAATTTGAATTTTGGGCTGTGTGTTCAACTTTCAGTTAATTTGTGGGCTGCGTGTTCACTATCTCCCTGGGCTGCGTGTTCAGAGAATTTGAATTTTGGGCTGTGTGTTCAACTTTCAGTTAATTTGTGGGCTGCGTGTTCACTATCTCCCTGGGCTGCGTGTTCAGAGAATTTGAATTTTGGGCTGTGTGTTCAACTTTCAGTTAATTTGTGGGCTGCGTGTTCACTATCTCCCTGGGCTGCGTGTTCAGAGAATTTGAATTTTGGGCTGTGTGTTCAACTTTCAGTTAATTTGTGGGCTGCGTGTTCACTATCTCCCTGGGCTGCGTGTTCAGAGAATTTGAATTTTGGGCTGTGTGTTCAACTTTCAGTTAATTTGTGGGCTGCGTGTTCACTATCTCCCTGGGCTGCGTGTTCAGAGAATTTGAATTTTGGGCTGTGTGTTCAACTTTCAGTTAATTTGTGGGCTGCGTGTTCACTATCTCCCTGGGCTGCGTGTTCAGAGAATTTGAATTTTGGGCTGTGTGTTCAACTTTCAGTTAATTTGTGGGCTGCGTGTTCACTATCTCCCTGGGCTGCGTGTTCAGAGAATTTGAATTTTGGGCTGTGTGTTCAACTTTCAGTTAATTTGTGGGCTGCGTGTTCACTATCTCCCTGGGCTGCGTGTTCAGAGAATTTGAATTTTGGGCTGTGTGTTCAACTTTCAGTTAATTTGTGGGCTGCGTGTTCACTATCTCCCTGGGCTGCGTGTTCAGAGAATTTGAATTTTGGGCTGTGTGTTCAACTTTCAGTTAATTTGTGGGCTGCGTGTTCACTATCTCCCTGGGCTGCGTGTTCAGAGAATTTGAATTTTGGGCTGTGTGTTCAACTTTCAGTTAATTTGTGGGCTGCGTGTTCACTATCTCCCTGGGCTGCGTGTTCAGAGAATTTGAATTTTGGGCTGTGTGTTCAACTTTCAGTTAATTTGTGGGCTGCGTGTTCACTATCTCCCTGGGCTGCGTGTTCAGAGAATTTGAATTTTGGGCTGTGTGTTCAACTTTCAGTTAATTTGTGGGCTGCGTGTTCACTATCTCCCTGGGCTGCGTGTTCAGAGAATTTGAATTTTGGGCTGTGTGTTCAACTTTCAGTTAATTTGTGGGCTGCGTGTTCACTATCTCCCTGGGCTGCGTGTTCAGAGAATTTGAATTTTGGGCTGTGTGTTCAACTTTCAGTTAATTTGTGGGCTGCGTGTTCATTATCTACCTGGGCTGCGTGTTCAGAGAATTTTGAATTTTGGGCTGCGTGTTCAACTTTCAGTTAATTTGTGGGCTGCGTGTTCAGAAATTTTGAATTTTGGGCTGCGTGTTCAACTTTCAGTTTAATTGTGGGCTGCGTGTTCAGAAATTTGAATTTTTGGGCTGCGTGTTCAACTTTCAGTCAATTTGTGGGCTGCGTGTTCACTATCTACCTGGGCTGCGTGTTCAGAGAATTTAAATTTTGGGCTGTGTGTTCAACTTTCAGTTTAATTGTGGGCTGCTTGTTCACTATCTACCTGGGCTGCGTGTTCAGAGAATTTGAATTTTGGGCTGTGTGTTCAGAGAATTTGAATTTTGGGCTGCGTGTTCAACTTTCAGTTTATTTGTGGGCTGCGTGTTCACTATCTACCTGGGCTGCGTGTTCAGAGAATTTGAATTTTGGGCTGCGTGTTCAATTTTCAGTTTAAGTGTGGGCTGTGTGTTCACTTTCGAATTCAGGCTGTGTGTTCAAAAAATCAGTGTTTGAGTCATTTGTTTTAATGTGGGCTGTGTGTTCGCAATTAATTAATGAACCGAGTGTTCGGGAGTTTGAATATTGAAACTACATGTTCAAAGATATAAGGAAAGTACTATGTCACAAGCTAAATATTTAAGCATGGCAAGGGTGCGAAATGTAAAATACAGAAGATGAGGTAAATACCTCTCGGGCCTCGTGAGAGAGATGCTGCTCCGGCTCTCTGAGAAGCAGATCTGCGGGTGCTCTCTCGTCAAAACTGGTAAAATGACGGAAAACGGCACGAGGGAGGGCGTGCACTGCTGGACGGTACCTCTCGGGCATGAAAGGTCGAGTCCTCGGAGGAAGAGTCATAGGATCGAAACCGTCCCCAGCACCCAGAAAACCTCCACCGTGAGGAGAATTGCCTGCCATTTTCGAGAATCTGCAAAAGGGGAGCAAAAATGAGCAGAGTGAGCAAAAATTGGCAAAAGTCAACAAAAGTCAACTCTCGGGAAAT